CTGAGGATGCAGGGTTATTTTCTAAGGTTTCAATTTGCCTAATAACACCCCAGGGTTTATGGAAAATGTGGGAGAGGTGATTCTGGTGGGGTGGGTTCTGTAGCCACCTATTTCCAGTGAAGTCTGAACAAAGAGTCTCAATCACAGAAAATAATTTGACCCACTGTCTCCAATGCTAATGCATTTCCAAGTGCCTGCTATCCTCCACGACACCTATCTGTGGCCCCTGTATGCCAGGTCATCTTTGCTGTTCTTAGAAAAAGTGGGGAGCGACCACTGAGGTAAGTGCAGAGGGCCTCAACTGCCCTCCAGTCACCCCACAGCACAATCTCATCTCCTCCCAGTTCTCTCACCCCCAGCTCCTCATTTATGAACTGAGGAGTTCCAATGCCTTTATCCCATTTCTCCAGGTCTTTAGTTAACTAAACTAGTGTCTTCCAGGTGACCTCTGTGTTTCCAAATGTGGTTTAAGGCACTGGGTTCTAAACTGGAACCAGAATGAAATTTTAACCAAAATTGAACCTTACCAGAAATATCCCTTAGCCTTCATTCTGTGCCATGCTTCTGCAAATAGCACTGGTTAATGACCTTGTGAACGCTTGGAGTACAAACTTCCTAACTTCTGCTTAGCTTGGAGATAAAAAGAGGAATAAGACACATTCTAATCTCAAGAGTTTCCAGGCTTTGGGGGAAGTCAGATACATAAACAGAAGTCATAATATGCAGTAGCACCAATGATTATGGAAGTATGAATTAAATGCATTAGGAGCATCTGAAGAAAATGACTATCTGCCAGGGGAGTGTGAAAGTAGGCTATTGGTATTTTTATTCAGTTCTACCCCACTTTTAGCCTTATCTGGAATACCAAGGTCATTTGGTTTCTAATCCTAGATACCAAGGATAGATTAAATCTAAGTGTACGTACATCCACAAAGATGCAAAAAAATAAACTTCTAGAAGAAGAGACAATTGTGCACCTTCACCACTGTAAGAATTATCACATTGGTTATCAACAGCAGTGTTCTGAGTAGCATGGAAATCAGCACACAGTTTTTCTTTTTTAAAAAAGGAAAGAATCATATGACGTTTGTTTCTGATGTGTCCAACCAAATCCCTAGACACCGAAACACAAATAAATCAATAGTAAAATAGCATAGTATGATGATTCTCATTTTTTCTACATTTTGGGGTATTTTTGAGCATGAATTCAAGAAGTCAAATTACTTTGTTTTTTAAAGGACTTAGCATTCACATATGAGGCATAAAATGATGGTAGTGTGGGGGAGGTGGGATTGAAGCTTCTAGCAACATGCACAGAAGAGGGTAGGCATAACATAAGTATGAGGTACCTTTCCGTTCTCCAGTGGAGGAAAATTGCCTTAAAAGAGTGTTTCCTTTTCCAATGGGCAAGCGAGTGGAATCACACAGTCTTGCGTCTGGTGGATGGATGTTGGTGTGATTCGGTGGGGAGGGGTTAGCAGATTCCATCTGACCTATGCAGCAGAATCCTCTTAAAAAGAAAAGAATTAGTTTTGTTCCACAAAGCAATTTTTCTCAAAGCAAAAGTCAAATGCTAATTGGAGCCAGCTCCTCACCGCAGTGAACTGACGCAGTTTGGGGCATCCAGGCTTCTTCTATAAATAGCACATCTATTTAGAACTCCCTACCTCACCAAAACTGAATCCTTGTTCCCCAGCAGCAAGGCTTGCTGTTATTTACAGTAGTGTTTGAAGACTCAAAACTGCTACCTTCCTTGCCCTACTGGGATGATGCCGGCTCCATTTTCAGTTTTCTCTGTATGTATGGGGTGGGCACTCAAGAATTGCTCACGTGTTTTGTCTTCAATAGAAGTACACATATTCTGTCTTGTTTTAAAATGTTGTTTTAAGCATCTTAGATTACATGCATATAAACCCTTTTATATGCTTTGACAGCAAATTTCACTGTTTCTGGGTTAGTCTTGCGCTACCAGCTGATTTGTCACGTTTCTGCAAAACCATTTATATGTAAATACGCCTGCTCGCTATAGCATCCACTGCTCTCCCTTGGCCTCTGATGGGCATTACATTTTGATGGACAGTGATCTGTCTATACAACTCCTTTCTTTTTGAAATCAGTTTTGAGGCACTATAAAAAGTTACAATCATTCATGTATTTTTGTATTTCTTTTAAAAGTGTGTATTTTCCTTCATTAAAATAATACATATTCATTTCACAAATTGACAGCTCAAGAAAAGTAGAAAAGAGACTTTAAAATCCATCAATAATGCTGCAATTCAAAGACAACCACTGCTTTTATTTTATGTATTTTGTAGCGCAAAGTGTTTTTAAACATGAAATATCATTGTGATTATTCTGTTTGCTCAATTCTACGTTATTCAATTTTTACATAACATGGTTTCTGCACTTTAAATGTAATGTAGATCCCAAATTAAATAATGTCTTGATTTAAAGAAACATCACCATTCTTTAGACAGTATATATATCTTTAGAAAGTGGAAAGCGCTTTAAAGAATACTCGTTAGCCTATAGATATTAGATGTTAGTATATGCATATGAAAAATTATAAACAAAAATCATGTCTTTAACAGCAGATTCCCTGGAAGGTAGATTGCAGTGGAATTGTACTTTCTAGGTTATAGAATTTATAATTGTTTAATTTTTTAGTAAGCATTTATTATTTTATAATAAAAATAAAAATTATGAAATTATTAATATTGGGAAATTAAAATAGTAAGACTTTGAAAGTTAAACATCTACCTTCTTTGTGTGACCTTTTTTCCTTCCTCTTATAATTAATTAAAAAAATAGTGATTATGTGGATAACAGTTTCAGAACACTGAATAAAAATTAGTTTTCTACTGTTTAATTTATGCCTGAGACTGCATCTGTGCATACAGGGATGTATCTGATTTCGTATTCAAGAAAAAGTGTTGGTTTGATTTGAGCACTGTTAATGAAACCAAATCACAAGTTCAAACCTTGTATGTTTAAGATAGCCTGATCCTTTTCTGAAATTCATAACTTTCCAATACTACCACAATTAATCTTGGCCATTCTTTTTTTTTTAAATGTTTATTTATTTTGAGATTGAGAAAGAGAGAGAGAGAGAGAGAGAGAGAGAGAACATGAGTGCATGAGTGGGGGGAGGGGTGGAGAGAAAGGGAGAGAGAGAGAATCCCAAGCACAGAGCCTGATGCAGAGCTCCATCTCACTAATTGTGAGATCATGACTTGAGCCGAAATTAAGAGTTGGATGCCTAACCAACTAAACCACTCAGACGTCACAATCTTGGCAATTCTTATTCATGGGAGCTCCTGGTCATGGGTGGAAAATGATGGAAGGATCTGTACACATGCATTCCAGAACTGGAATAAAAAAGCACTTGGAGGGGTGAGCTGCATTGCCTAGATTTTCCATAGGAAGACAACAGGGGGAGATGGAGTAAGCAATGGGCCAAAACAAAGGATCTGCTAAGGTTTTTCATTCCAGTCAGGGAATCCAGCTGTTGTGCAATTTAGCACTGCTACCTAGAGATGGTAATTTGATATGTGCCTCTGCAATCCTTCTACAGGGTGAAGAATTAATTCACTTAGATGGAAAATGCTGCCCTGAATGCATTTCAAGGAATGGTTATTGTGTTTATGAAGAAAATGTAGAATTTGTGAGTATCAGACTAATAACTGAAGACTATTAAAAATTTTGTTTTCTTTTTTTTCTTTTTTTTTTTTTTTAACGTTTATTTATTTTTTTTTGGGACAGAGAGAGACAGAGCATGAACGGGGGAGGGGCAGAGAGAGAGGGAGACACAGAATCAGAAACAGGCTCCAGGCTCTGAGCCATCAGCCCAGAGCCCGACGTGGGGCTCGAACTCACGGACCGCGAGATCGTGACCTGGCTGAAGTCGGCCGCCTAACCGACTGCGCCACCCAGGCGCCCCAGACTATTAAAAATTAATAATTCAAAATTAGTTTGATGAGGGGGCATTACTTTCTCATATCTTTTACCCATTCATTGTTCATCAAATGTGTACAACTACTCTGTGCCAGGTCCTAGAGACACAGAATCAAACAGCTCGAAGAGTCACTGCTCTTGCTGCGGGGAGCTCATGCTCTAGTGTAGGCACACAAGGGACAGACAAAAACCTGCCAGTAGCTGAGAGGAGGGAGGTGCATAAGGTTAGTGTATGATCGGGGAAGTCTCTCATGTGGAGAAATTTGAGCAGAACCTAAGGGGAGTGAGGGAGCAAGCCATGTGGATACCTGGGGAGAGAAAATGTGCTAGGAAGAGTCAGAAAATGAAGATGACTGAAGCAGAAGTGTGCTTGGTGTGTTCAAGAAACAGCAAGAAAGTGACTATGGCTAGAACCAAGAGAATGGGGGAGAAAGGATTTGGTGCCGGAGTCCACGAGGTAGCCTGGATGCCATGGTAAACGTGTGTTTTACTGTGACACAGACAAGAGCTGTAGCAGCTTTGAGCAGCCATGCTGTGATCTGGCTTACTTGTGAAAGGGTTACTTTGGCTGCTTTGTGAGCAAGTGACGGAAGGGGGTGAGGCTGGCAGTCGGTGATCTGGTTGGAAGGTTTTTGCAATAGTCCAGGAGTGGTGATGGTGTTTTGGTCTCAGAAGGAAGGCTCTAGATTTATTTTGCAGGTAGAATGGAAAGGATTTTGATGGATTGGATGGGGGACGAAATTCCATTTGCTAAGGTTTTATTTCTAAGTCTGTACTTTTAAGAATTATATACCCAAAGAAAAAAAATATTTGTCTTAATCTCTTCAAGTTTGCTCTATTTGTATAGCCTAGATCTTCCACGTGGGATTTTGTAGTGTTGATAAATTGTGTTCTAAAAAATAGGCCAGTTGATCATAAAGACAACTGCTTTATTGACCAATCAGAATAAAATGATAAGAATTGGGATTAAGTACTTTGATTCCTACCTACTTTTTCTTCATGATTTGGGAAAATTGCGTCTGTCAACCTGCGTATGCTGGAGAGAATACTGTGTGAGGTTAACAGTTTGGGCTCTAAATTCAAATATCTACTTTGCCACATACTAGCTGACTATAACTTTAGACAAGTTACTTAATCCTCATTTGTGAAGAAGGGATAACAATAGTACTTACCTCATGGGGCTATTGAGATAATACCTATGAAACACTTGGAACAGATGCTGGCACGTTAAAAAAAAAACAAAAACAAAAACAAAAAGCTAAAGAAATGGCATCATTGTTATGCTGTTGGCATTGTTTGTTTCATAGTGGTATTCAATAATTTAGTTCTTGTTTCTTGAGAAGTTAGGAGATTAAAGGCTGCCTATAAATGAAGAATTTCTATTTTCTCAACCATAGTATCAATTTTCCTACCCATTTTTGGAGGTAAATTAAGCCCGGCAGAGTTAAAGAAAAGCAAGTTGCTTTAAATGAGTCGAAATCCCCAGAGTACTGTGGTACCATACAAGATTCAAGAGTTTGCCCCCACAGGCTTAGATTTCTTGACTGTGAAGTCCTTCATGTTGAAGGGAATGGAAGCCAAGTGCTCAAGCACAAAAGGAGAATCAGAATTCACAAATATTTCTGAAGCATGTTGTCTTCACCTCATATTGTATGCTTTTCTTGTTTTTGATGTATATAGATTTTTTCTATTCATAATAAATGAATGATGTTGCATGATACTTGGGCAAAATGGATAACTCTTAAATGAGAAAATAAATAGATCAGTTTAATGGTGTTTTTAGTGGTATAATAAATACATTTCTCTTTGTTCCTAGATGTCCTCAAATGCAAGTGAAGTTAAACATATTCCAGTAAGTATAGATTTTTAACTTGTACATAGATATTGGTAGAATTGTTTTAAGCAATGATCTGCATAAACTGTCCTGGGAAACCTTACTGCCATAGTATTTTTTAATAGTCACGTTTGTTGGCACCATGGTCCCAGATTAAGAATCTTAATGATAACTAACACTTTGATTCATTGAACTTTGCTTCTTTATTTACCTTATTTTTTCCCCAATTGATAATACTTCTCTAACTACAAGCTCCTACACATATTTTTCCCTTTCTTGTGAAGATTTCCTCTTTCTCATTTTTTCTGGCCTAGAAAATTCAGTTTAACCATCCATGCGATTTGATGTTCTTCAAAGCATGGAGAGCTTTTGGGGTTTGGGAGTGTTAGTTCCCCAAACCAAAACTGATTGTTCATTCTTTTAAGGTTGTTTACAGGAAAACATTGTATGGTTCCTTTTTAAGGTAAAGTGCAAGCACATTTGTTCACACAAGCAATCTTAAAATTTTGAAGGCTATAGAATAAGGGGGCCAGGAATCCAGTCTGCCTTGAAATGGAAGAAAAGCACTTCTGCCTTCTCAAGATAATATTCCTGATTTTTCTAACATTGTCATTCATTTTTGCTAACTATAGCCACATTAATTGTTTGGAGTGTTCAACATCAATTGGTTTAATAAATATTTTATCAAATATTTATATTATAATATGCTCTTCTATTCTCTCCTGTTTTACCTCCTTCATCACCCCAAAACATTCTGGTAGGAACCCTTGTCTCTTTCCTATCTTCAGGGTGAGTAGGATAGTGAGCAAAAAAGGAATTGTTCTTTATAATTCACTTTGAATTCTCCATCAAAATATTAATGTTCATTACCGTAATTTGCTTGACCAAAAAGAATATTTTAGCGTGATAAAGCCCATGGCACATCTACGGCCCACTAAAAATGGTCATACAAGAGCTGTAATTTTAAGAATATAATGACTCTACTGTTACTCTTACTGGAGTAACTGTAAGGAAACTCAGGGCTTTAACCAGCTTCCCACTGTTATTATAAAGATTGCATGTAATGTACCCACTAATCATAGGCACATAGTAATCCCCTCTCGTGTTTTTTGGTGAGATAGGCTAAGAAACAAGTGTTGTATGCTTCTTACTTATGAGCCCCAGAATGTGTTCTCAGTTTATTTTTCTGCCTGGGTTCTACATTTAAATAAATCAATTATAAACAAAGAAGGAGTAATATTATCCTTTTTAATTTAAAACTCTTTGGGGCACCTGGGTGGCTCAGTCGGTTGAGGGTCTGACTTCAGCTCAGGTCATGATCTCGCAGTTTGTGGGTTCATGTCGTGTCGGGCTCTGTGCTGACAGCACAGAGCCTGGAGCCTGCTTCAGATTCTGTCTCCCTCTCTCTCTGCCCCTCCCCCACTCATGCTCTTTCTCTCTGTCAAAAATAAATAAAAATTAAAAAAAAAAACCAAACAACTCTTCAATGACTGTCCTTTTTCAGAGTTAGATTTGCATGGTACTGAACAGGACTTTCATTTTGTCCCTTATGGGAACTGTAACTTCTCCACCAGCAAACTGTCTTCTGAATTTTTGCAATTCTGATAACATCATTCTTTACTGTTTCATGTAGGAAGGGGAGAAGTGGGAGGATGGCCCTTGCAAAGTGTGTGAGTGCTGGGGCTCTCAGGTAACTTGCTATGAGCCCTCTTGTCCACCATGTCCAGTGGCCACACTAGCCCAAGTGGTGAAGGGACAGTGCTGTCCAGATTGCACATCAGGTGGGTCCATGTCTGATTTATGTCTACTGAGATATTTTCACTGTCAAAAAATTCAGAGATCTTCTTTCTCCCCGCTTCGTGGTTTTTTTTGTTTTGTTTTGTTTTTTTGTTTTTTGTTTTTTTTTTTAAGTCACCTACTGGGTTGGTTTGTTGGTTGATTGGTTTCTTGCTAATTTTTCTAACAAATGATATTGCTTAATCTTTGCCCATGTATTTACCAAACTCAACAGATTACGGGTAGGTGATCTTGGGCGAGTCATTGACCCTCTTTAGATCTTAATTTCTTGTTAATAAAATGTGCCTCATCTACCTTGCAAAATTATTATGGATATCAAATAACCTAAAGTTTAGAAACTTTTAAAAGCAAATATATATGTTAGGACTGTTCCATTGTTAAAGATATAAGGGCAATTGCTGAAAGTTTGTTACAGGTGTCCTTTTTTTTTCTTTTTCTTAAGGTGAGCTGTTAAACAGATGGTTCCTTAGGAGTTCTCAAATGGGTTTTTGAAGTTTAAAGACTCATTAATTTCTTCCAAAAGAAAATTTTATCTACTTGTTCTGCAACTCTGCTTTCAAATCACCTGGGGTTGAATTAGTTCCAGTTAATAATTGTTGGCAAGCATTGGAGTTGCTCTGGCTGTGCACTAATTTGCCTATAAGCTTAGTCTCTCTTGGAGAAGTGGCATTTTCTTCCATTCATATTTCATAATTAATTGTTTTCTTCTGTGGGTTGCAATTTTTCATATTGGCAGTTGCTTTTGTTGCACTCAACTTATTTTGGCTAATCACAGTGTTTCTGTGAAGAGTTTATCATGGGAAAAGCAAAGCAACTTTATGGTTTAATTACGTTACCTTCACCAAAGTGGCTCCCTGGGCTTTCCTAAACAAATATTTAGCATGTTATAATGTACTATACTTTGAATATCAGGTCCCTGACAACTTTAAAACCTGAAAGAAGTCCTTTGCTGACAATTGACATTGAATTCGATGATAATCCCAATTGTTTTGAATGAGATTTGAATTTTAGAGAAAAAGAATAAAGCTGGCTGTATTTTTTGTTTATTTATTTTTTTTAAGATTTTTTTTTCAACGTTTATTTATTTTTGGGATAGAGAGAGACAGAGCATGAACGGGGGAGGGGCAGAGAGAGAGGGAGACACAGAATCGGAAACAGGCTCCAGGCTCTGAGCCATCAGCCCAGAGCCTGACGCGGGGCTCGAACTCACGGACCGTGAGATCGTGACCTGGCTGAAGTCGGACGCTTAACCGACTGTGCCACCCAGGCGCCCCTGGCTGTATTTTTTAAACAACTTTTTAAAAATTGTGTTTTGTTTTAACTTTCTATACATGCCAAAGCTTAAGAACATCTAAGAAAACATAAACTATTGAATTCATTTAAATCATATATTATGGAGCTGATAATTCTTGTTTGTAGAGGCATTCCAGCAGGTAGAAGCATTAATAGGGCTGTCCTGTAACATTTTTAGTGTCTTCAGTGTGGAGCTACCAGAGACAGTAATAGTGTTTCAGACAAGGAGAGATTCTTTGAAATCTTGCATTGAAATCATTTTTGCTATTTCGGGGTCTTTTTCATACCTAAGTTCTAGAGTTTTCTGTTCTTCTTCTTCGATATAGCCCCATATACTCTGTAGATTCTTTTTTGGAAGAATGTAAGAGAAATGATATGGTCTTTGTCAAATTCTCCTCTTCTTTGTCCTTGATTGTAGTTCATTGCCACCCAGACTGCTTGACCTGCTCTCAGTCTCCAGAGCACTGTGACCTCTGCCAGGACCCCACAAAGTTGCTGCGGAATGGACAGTGTGTGCACAGCTGTGGTCTGGGATTTTACCAGGCTGGTGCTCTCTGTTTAGGTATGGCTCTGGGCAGATAGCCGAGATGTGGACTGAGGCTCACTGTTGTCAAGGAGGGGTGATGCACTCAAGAAATGCATAACTTCGAAAAACCCTTCGAAGGTAGTAATGTCATCCATAGGTTACTTGGCATCTCTACCTGCAAGTGTCTTTCTTCTGACATTTCAGGTGCTTACTGGGGGATAGATGATGTGGAGGTCTGATGTTACTAGGTGGTTGTTATTGGATTTTTCATTTTTTGAAGACTTTCAAAGATAGTAATATCTCCAGAATCTTTCGTGTCATTTATTACAATACTCAGTTAATCCAAGATTGAAGTTTGGAATTGACATAGATATTCGAGATCACTTACTAGAACTTTCTCATTTTGCAAATGGGGAACTTGTGGGCCAGAGAAATTAACTGGCTTGTTCAACATCAAACAGATAATCAGTAATAGAGTTTATCTCCTGTGGGTTATCAAGGAGATCCAAAATGGGTTCATGTGAATTTTCAGAGTTCTTATGCAACTGAGAAGGAGATCTTACCTGGAAGAATTTTGGCTTGTTTGAGGCCAAATCATAGTTACTTTTTTCCCTATCTCTAACTCATAGAGCTAATTATCCATTTAAGAGTATATAGGTTTATACCCTGGGTGTGAGATTCAACCTCTCTGTGCCTCAGTATTCTTACCTATAAAGGGGGGTAGTACTAGCTAGTACCTTCCTCAGAAGTTTTTTGTGAGAATTGTGTTAAGTGTTAATATACATGAAGTGCCTAGAATAGTTTCTAGGATATTTTTAAGCCTCAAGAAAGGTAATTATTTACTTCCCCCTACTTTCTTTCCTGACTCCTAATCTTTAGACTTTTTGAAAGTCATTTATACCTCTGCCATGGGTTGTGGAAGGAGAGACAAGGGATATTCTTGTGAAATGGTTGAGTGAGAAAGATATTGGGGGTTATTGGATAAGAAGAGCACAGACTCAGGAGCCAAACTTCCTGACTTCAAATACCAGCTTCATGTCACTCTGGGCAAGTTACTTAACCTCTAGTAGCTTGTTCCTCATGTGAAAAATTGGGGTTAACCACCCAATAGGGTTGTTGTAAAGATTAAATGCACACATACATATAAAGCACTTCGTGCATTGCCTGGCGTGAAGTGTGTGTTATATAACGGAAGACTGTAGAGTAATTTTCCTGCCTTTCTTGTTCTCAGTACAGAGCCTCAGGATTGGGCTATGTAAGAATTGGCACAGGGGTGGTGTCTTTGAGCTAATCAGGGCTTCCCTTTTTCTTTCTTCCACCCCTGTCTGGAGCCAGCCTGCCAGCCTCAGTGCTCCACGTGTACCAGTGGGCTGGAATGTTCGTCCTGCCAGCCTCCTCTGCTGATGCAGCATGGCCAGTGTGTGCCCACCTGCAGGGATGGCTTCTACCAAGATCGCCACTCCTGCTCAGGTAATCACTGGCTGGGCCACCAAGAAAGCCACCCCCACCCCCAAGTGATCCGGGGCCACGGGGAGCTGTGAGCAGCTTTTCAAGTATGAGAAGAAACTCTGAGAGAGACTCCTGATGGGCCCAGAACAGTGGATGAGAGATGACACATGTTGTTTTTATAACCTTATTAGTGCTTTGGTGATGTGTGCATATGGTGAGATTTCTCTAAGTCCTTCTGCACACACCTTGGGGCACTGGAACAGTTCTTTATTCAGTTCAGGGTTGTCATTATATTGTAAGTGTGATTCCTTCATAGTGCTTAAATGAAAATGAAGAGAGAAATATATCTATATATTTTCAAAACTTTATTTCTACCTGAAGAGAGAGGGAGAAACAGAAATAAGAAAGTGACGTCATAAGTAACAAACATGGACATGCAAAATAGATGATGGCATTTCCATTTACTCTTACTTTAGTGTCTGCATGCTTTGGTAGCTTTATGTGTCTAAATTAAGAGCTAGTTGATATTCTTTTTTTTTTTTTTTTTTTTAAGTTTTATTTATTTTTGGGACAGAGAGAGACAGAGCATATGTAGGCAGGAGGAGGGGGGCAGAGAGAGGGAGACACAGGAATGGGAGGCAAGACCAGGCTCTGAACCATCAACCAGAGCCTATGGGCGCAGACTCTGGACAGCGGATGGTGACCTAGTTGAAAATGGACGGCACCCGACTTCACGCCACCCAGGCAGGCAAAGTTATAGCAATATTATAATAGTCTCTGGAGTTTGGAGTGCTCTTAGTGTAATTTAATTTGTTGCTTATACTGGACCATGTTTTTAATAGTGATTATAATCATGAGTATAAGTAAAGAAGTAAATGTATAAAGAATTTTGTTAAATGTAGGAATAAGAAACAAATAAATAAATGCAGGAATGGGAAAAGGGGTAATGGTGGAAGCAAAGACAAAGGGCAGGGTCCTAGCTGGTCTGCAGGAGGAGACAGAATCAGATGTGCTCAGAACCTAAGGCAGGGTGTGCAGTGGTGGGCAAACCTGAGCAGGCAGACAGGCCAGAGGGAGAAGCTTGGTTGTCCTACCAGGGAGCTCTGGGAGCCAGGCTCTGCAGCTGAGCAGGAGAGGGGCAGAGATGTGATGAGACTCAAAGGTGGGCTGGTCTTAGGGTTGGCTGATATTCTTCCCTCATTTATGCCCTCGGTTAGATTTTCAGGAAGATCATTTGGAGAGAATATAGTGAAAGAGAGTAAGTGCATGGTATTCACCAGCTGTGTGGGCTGAATGAGCTCTATGGCATGGGAAGATGCTCTGTGGAAAGTCTGATGGCCTCCTTCATTCCAGGTTGAGGGCAGAAGCAGCATCCACGGGATAATAGAAACCATCTTGAAGGGAAACACTGGTACTATTAATGTCATACTGATGTGAGGATGGTGGGGCTGATCCTGGAGCCAGTCACATTACAAAACAGAAGGCACACTAGCTTCTGAGTCTGGCTTGGGGGCTTTTTGCAACCTGTAAAAATATCTTCTGTATCCCCAACATCAAGGGCTGGACAAAGTGTTCAACGTTTGTTGAACAAGTGTTTGATGAATGAAGACACATATTATCCTTTGGTGATCCTTGAAAGACCAGTGTTTCAATAGGAGCTTCAGCCATAAGAGATAAAAGACCCCTTAATGTTTCTTACTTATCATGTGCTATTTACCTGTTATTTTAGAACAGGCTCAAAGTGGGCACATCCAAATGCCTTTGTAGGTGTGTAATGGTTGGGCATTTTAGGTAAACTGCTGAAATTTCAATTTGATGAAGTTAATGAATGTATTCTCTACTCCTTTCTTCTATCCCATCAAAGAGACCTCCTACTAGCACTCCTGTGACAGATTTGCCTTTAAAAGGGAATTAATTCCCCTTAGATTTTATTCTTCCCTCCATAACACCTCAACCCCTGCCACACATCCCACATACATATTTACTTTTTTCTTTCTCTTTTTTTGAGGGGCCGTTTTCCTTTCTCCCATGCTCAATGTTTTAATTGGTGATGTTCATGCTGTTATAGGGCACTTTGAAATGAGTAATGTTTCATTTGATTACTGGTTTACGTAGCTGACTGCTTCCACATTCCATCCACATACCCATACACAAATGCCTCTGGTAGAAAGTTGCTGGGAAAATTTGTTCATGCTCCCTCCAGGGAATTAAACCAATTTGCTTTAGTTCAGCCTGGTTGCATTTTTATGCATAAAATGAGAAGAAAGAGGAGAGCAAGAAGAGAGAGAGAGTGTGTACGTGAGAGTGATCTTAAAAATTAAAGCAAAACTAGTGATCAATTTCCATATACTGTTTCAATGCTGAGATGGCCCAAATAAGCTTTCCAAATAAGCTTTCTCATTATTGGAATTTTTTGCAACATTTGTGCCTGTGCTATTTTTGGTGGCTTCTCATCATTGACCTTGGAAGTTGGTCAGCAAACCAGTCCTCTTCTAGCATGTGCTAAACTTTTCAAAAAGAAGCCTGCTATTTTATGGTAACAACAGGTTCTTCTGGATTGATTCCTCTTGGCAGGGTCATTTATATTATGACCAGCATAATTTGCCACTTTATTGACCCATCAAAACCAAAAGAGAGTGAACACTGTGCTGAGGAAACTAATTACCAGAAATTACTTGATTAATATTCATGCTCACTCTGTTGAATATAAGGCAGAGAGAAAAATATGGGGCAGAGCCAAGTGGCACAGAAGCACATAGCTCTCCAACAGAAGAGTAGGAGCAGGTAAACCAGGAGAAAGAGTAGGAGCAGGTAAACCAGGAGAGGGGTGAGAGAAGACACTGAGTCCTGCCAGAGAGTCGCATCCTCAGGGCCCTTGCCATTTCCCCTTTTCCCTTCGGTTTTGTGGTATACACACACATATACACAGGTGCAGATGAATGTGTTCCTATGCATGCATATCTTCATATCATTATTACATTCTCGTGCTTGATTAAACTGAATGCTATTGTAGTTATAGACTACATTAGGTACTCCTATACCAGTCACTGCTTCATTTCTAAATGAAACTCCAAACTGTTGGAGTTTGATCACTTCCCCTTCAGGCTCAGCACCACCCAGTTTTTATGCCAGTCTAAGTTGGAGACAGGCAGTATATACGTTGCCTCTTCTCTGTAGCAGGTAGGGCAAAAGAGTAATCACCCTCTTAGGGACCAGAACACACCTTTAAGACCTGGCTTTCGGGCTTAGACTTTCTTTGCCACCAGTTGGATCTGGTCCAACAGGCCTGTTGTCCACTCTGTCCCTGTCCTCTCGACCCTGTGGACATCAAGTCCTAGGACTGGGCTTCTAATTTGCTTCTTTCTACCTTGTCTTGTTATGACCCATTTCCAGGAATCAATAGCCTGTGTCTTAGTCATCCCAGCCTGATGGTCAGTTTTGACTCAGTTGTGGATGGTCCTTGCTCCTCCCACCCACTGCATGACCTTGCACCTTTCCTGCATGACCCTGTGGGTACCACTTATGGATTTATTGTATTCTCTCTACCAGAGTTGTGGTTCCATTGCTTCGTCTTAGAAACCCTGTTATGAAATCTAAATGTGGATCTAGACTCACCTCACTATGCCCTGAAAACATTCTTCCTTGCCTGTCTTACCCCTCTTTTCAGTCAACCTCTGTTCTGCCCTGGTGGAACCATTGAACTGTTGCACACACAAATCCTAGGTAAGGGAACCCATAAGAAAAAAAAGTTAAAAACAATCAAACTAACACACATCATGCAAGATTAGTTAAAAATCAGCAGCTCATAAGACAATAACTTTGAGTAAAGAAAGAGTAGAATTCAACACATTTTTATTCTTTAATGTTTATTTTGAGAAAGAGAGAGCGAGAGAGAGCGTGTGAGCAAGAGCATGAGTAGGGGAAGGGCAGAGAGAGAGGGAGACAGAGAATCCTAAGCAGGCTCGTGCTGTCAGTGCAGAGCCCAATATGGGGCTTGAACTCACCAACTGTGAGATCACAACCTGAGCCAAAATCAAGAGTTAGATGCTTAACTGCTGAGCCACCCAGGTGCCCATTTTTATATGTATGTCAGCGTTTGATATGTCCAGTGCAAACCTCCAGTATTCACAAAGACCTGAGGATGGAGTTGTGTGTACCCTGTGGCAAGTGCTACCTTCATTCGCAGACCCAGACATGGGAGGGACTGTGACACAGTGCTTAAGACTGTAGGCTTGGAAGCCAAACTATCTGGACTCCAGTCTTGGCTCTGTCACTACAAACAGTGCATTTTTTAACCCCATGCTTCAGCTGCCTATGGGTAAAGTAGGGACAATAATGTCAGCCATATAGCATGAGTATAAGGATTAAATGAATGAATTCACATATGTCATTTAGGATGGTGCCTGGCACTTAGTAAGCCCTCCATATGAGTTAGAAGACTTATATTTCTGCTTTTCATTGTCCTTCCCTGTTCCATTTCTCTCGCTCCTCCATTCATTCTCCTTTGACCACCATTGGAAGTCCTGAGGATATGAAGTGAAATAAGATGCTATCATATTTTCCTATTGAGAGCTTGCAATCAAGGCTGGGTTGGCTGCTGCTAACAGAGATGTAAAAGAAAAAATAATCATATAAACATACAAATCTATGCAGTTTATTCTACATCTGATTGCTGTGTAGTCTCAGATTTTTAAACTTAAAGAACCAAGCCATTGACCATTTTACAGGCTTGTATGAGAGAGGATCATTTTGATTCTTAACTCTGCCACTTACTGCTATATGGCTTTGTACAGGTCATTTAACTGCTTGAGCCTCAATTTCCCCGACTGTAAAATGGGGATAATACCATCTACTTTACACTGTTATGATGAACATTAGAAAAGATGTTTGAAAATAGAAGTATATTATGCTTGGCACATTGTATGTGGGCAACAAAAGGCAGCTATTGTCATTGAATCTCTTTGTTTATATTTCAATTTATGAGAATGAAAACCAAATAGCTTGCATTAAGAAACAAAGAG